ACGGGTTTAAGAGTTTTTAAGAGTTTAAGAGTTTTAAGAGTTTAAGAGTTTTAGTCAAATGCTTTATAATATAGTATAGATAATTAAGTATATTATTAGAAGTCAATGATTATCCTAATTGTATTTTAGATTTTTTATATTTAAAATGAAATGTTTATCCTCTGTTTGATTATATTTATCTACAGTTAGTTACACGAACTCAAACATGAATCTTTAATAAGTTGTACTTACATATAATTTTATGTTCTGGTTTTGGTTCCCAATCAATGGGTATGTCATTAAAGTCTTACATACTCGCTTGGTGGATATCAAGTATGTTTTTTATTGTATTTTATGGATTTTTAATGCAATAGATTTAGCAAGTATGTTTTTTATTGTGTTTTATGGATTTTTTTATGCAATAGATTTAGCATGGTTTGATCGATTAAGTTTTCCCCCAAATTGTCGATTTGACGATAGTTTCGCTTCTTACATGTGTTGATTTTAGGCTCACTGTGAAGAAAGTCGCACCGAAGGGTAAGGTTGCTAAGGATCCAAACAAGCCTAAGAGACTTGCCGGTGCCTTCTTTGTTTTCCTTTTTTTTTTAAATTTTATTACACAAATCTGTAAGTTGTTGTGCTAATTTGTTGCGTTTTTGTTGAATTGAAGGGAGGAGTTCAGGAAGCAGTTTAAGGAAGAGAACCCTGGCAACAAATCCGTTGCTGCAGTGAGTTCTTCTGCCAAATTCTCACAATCTAAACTTTGTATTTTGTGTTGAAAATGGTTGAATTGTTGTTTGATTTGTCTGTGGTATTTTCATCGTAAATAAACAATCTACAGGTCGGTAAATCTGGTGGAGCAAAATGGAAATCAATGTCTGATGTCGTAAGTAGTCTCATCATTAGCATTCATGCTTGTGAAAGCTTAATTATTCGTCAATAGTAGTAATACAACGGTGTACAATTACAGGAAAATGCACCTGTTGTTGCCAAAGCTGAGAAAAGAAAGAAGGAATATGAGAAAACCCTTGCTTCCTACAACAAAAAGCTGGTAATTACTGTTGTATAATATTCATGATATTTAAGGTAAATTTATGGTACTTTCCTTAATAGCTTATGTCTTTTACAGATGAATCATATGGTAGAATTTTATATCAGACTTGGTTTATATCTCGCTTATTTTGAGAGGTAGGGCAAATTTGGTTGTTTTAATTCCATTTACAATTTGTTTTTGTTTTATGCATTTCAATTTACAAATTGTTTATTTCAGTTTCATAGTTATAACTTTTAGCACCAAGAAGATTGGCAAAATGAGGGAATATGCTAAGAGTACATTTTACCTCCTTTCAACTTTTGGAACATCTTTATTTTATGTTTTGCAAGCACGTACTGCTTTCAGAAGTGTTTAATTTCAATGAGAACTCATCCCTGATATATTGACTATTTACCTTGATGGAATAGTGAAGGAACAGTCGGCCAACTGGTTGTATTGTTATGAGAGAATTGATGGGGGTTGAGGTTGCAATTTATATGAGCACACATAAGTACTGTTTTATTTTCAATCTTTATTTGGAGATATTCTTCTTTTTTTTAGTTTGCACTGATATTTTTATGCTGAACGATAAGCAAATGGTACAAGAGGAAGGCTCGACTGCTCTAACATTGGTTGTTGATTCATCACATGTAACTTCACATTTCAAGTGTTTATTTATAGCATTAGAACTTTAGATTGCATCTTGGTATAGTTGGTTTGGAGGCATCATCATTGGAATCATGGTTGGTTCAAACATGGCCTTTGAAATATTATAACGAGAAGATACCTATCTTTCATTATGCTCTAAATTAATGAAATTTTAGTTATATGGGACGAAAAATGATCTTGATAAACTATTACAGCGGATGATTGATGAAAGTGATCCCAATTTATCATTTGATTACATCAAACTTGATGAGGTTCATACGTTTGTCCCTTCTCGATTCAAGGTATCACCTCCTGCAGTTTCACATATGTTTGTGTCTATGTTGTTAAAATTTCTCCTTATCTATCGATCTGCATCTCTGCATCTTGAGTTGAATGACAATAAGCTTGGATGGTTGTCTCGTAAGCAACAAATAGGAGCAGTGTTGTAACAACTGGTTTATATTCATGGTTGTTACTGTGTTGCACAATGACCTGGCTATTTTAACAATAAGTTGTTGCTGTTTGGGGCTGTGGTCAGTAGCTGTTTGTTGCTTCTATTTGCACTTCCAATCCTCTTCCCATGATCCTTTCAAACACAACATAACCATGCCCAGGTGATAAATGTTAATTTATTAACCTTATTACATCATATTCTTAATCATTTTCATTTGTTTTATTTGCTCATTAGTGTCTTAATTTAGTCTTTTTATGTCATCTTTATATATATACTAGTTGTGTACCCGCACAATACGGCAGGAATCGAAAATATAAACAATTTTGAAGTTGATCCATGAAATAAGAGTATGGTTCCAAATTGAAGTTGATCCTTGAAAAATTTATGAAAGTTTAAAATCCAATATAGAGTTGACAAACAAATTCAAAAATTATTGGTCTGCTACTTTGATCCGTCATTTCCAATAAGGCACAATTCCTTCCACGACAAAAGAATTGCTACTTTGATCTGTCATTTCCAAAAACGATCCTCTCATATTCTTCTCTAGTTGAGGTTTCATTTCCAAATGGGATGACCTAAGGCTTCTTGATGCACTATCATATTAAAGCTTTGGACCTTGTACTTTTCACACCTTAGATTTGAAGGTCGAAAGAATGAGCATGCCGGAAAAAGTTTATGAAGTGCTAGATGATACAAAAGCTGAAATCAAAAAGCTCATATCAGAATATTATGTGAAAGTCAATCTTTGTGACAACTTGAAAAGATCGTATAATGAAACAGTGGCTACAAACCTGAATTCATGTTGAAAGCAATCTCTCCCAATTTGAAAAAGTGGTTGCAAACCTGAATTCTTGCGGACAAACTCAAGTTAGAAAGTAAAGAGGTCCACTTAAAAGAGATCACAACAAAACTAAACGATTATAACTCTATGGTTTTACAATTAACAATAGAGAAAGAAGAAAGCCTAAAGGTTGTAATTTCTTAATTACATACTCCAATTACAGTTAAAAACCAGCTTTACAAGATAATTATTTTGTTGCATAATAGCTTAGGGGTCGTTTACTAAACACTTAACCGGTCGTTTACTAAATATTAATTGGCAATAATGCTCAATTCTTCATTCAACTTAAGAGAAAACCATTCCCATTATTTGTTTTGTTCCGGTGTTGTTTGACAGACTCTAGGTGATTTGATGTAAAATGATCAAAAGACTCTATATGATTTAGCCCAAAATGAAAATTGACTGTTTGGTAAATGTTCTGAAATAATAGTCTGAATGATAGAAAATTATCATTTTGACCTTCTATATAAATGAAATTTAACTGTTTGGCAAATTTTTTGAATCAAATATTTTATGGTGAAAATATATAATTTTACATACATATTACTAAAAGAAATACAATAAGCACATACATATATAATTTTATATTCATTTTACATGAAGAGCCATGCTATGTGGCCTTTAGTATTGTTCTCCCTAGAGTGTATGTAGGAATACAAATAAAGACCAATTTCAATGACTCAAATCAATTATTGGTGAAGAGTAATGTTCACAAGCAACCAATCATTTACAATCTCATTTGTTTAGAAATACCAGAGCCAATTTTACCACCTTGTGGAGTCTTTTGACTTGCCAAACTAATACAAAAGCAAATTACCAGGATGTCCTATTTCATTGCTTCCTATAGTGTGCAGCTAGAATTCAAAATTTTTGAATGTAGACCACCAACAAGGCCGAATCCACATTCGAGAGAGACGCATAAGCAAATGCCGAATTGAAGATTCAGTTATAATGGAATTATATAACATAGGCAAAAATAGGCTTCAAATCTTATACCCCAAAAGAAAACAACCCCATTTGCTCATAAAGTGTGATCATACTCATGCCCCATTGAAGAAAATACATGTCAACAAAAGCGTAAAAAAATGGTATATATAACATATATTGTAAAATCATCATAGGTTGACTATTACAAAGTTTCTCATAGTGAGAAATAGGGATATAGTGTGTGTTAGGACAACCTCTATATGGTTAGTGTAAGTGTAATGTTTATAATCCCCTTTCCACATTTGATCTAGGTAGTCAAGCAGTAAAGGAGATGAATTGCATGTACAGAACAGAACCACTTGTTCTCTTACACATGAATGAAAGATGTTGGAATGTTTTTTTGCAGGAGAACTTAATTACCACAAGAGATGCAATGTTGACCCTATAATAAGCATATTATTATGGTTGATACCCATCTGATAATTTTCAACTAATTGAGTTCACACCCTTAAAATTTGAATAGAAATTTATATACCATTGCTTAAAATTTGAATAGAAATTCATATACCATTTTTGCTCATTGAATCAGAGTTGAACATGCCTTCTCTTCATCAACATCTGAATGGTTGATACCGTTCTTTTCCAGAGCCGATATAACATCATCTGTTTGCTCTCCAAGGCTTTCACCAAACTCGGTAGAAGTTTCTACATGCAAAAAATGATCAAATTCATCTTCAATTTAAAAAAAGAAATACAATTAATGATTAATGCATCCGATAAATACGTGTATAAAACCCAATTAATGTATATCCCTTACGTTATCATAAACCTCCATTATTTTAGAACTACATAAATGGAATCCATTATTTTGGATAAAAAAACCCATCACACTACTCATAAGTTATAACCTAAGGGATAAGGTACCTTCTTTTACACAAGTTCTACCTTAAACAAACCAAACTTCACACCTTTCTTTCGATTTGTTAATTGTGCCATCACAAGTGTTCTTCAACATGCATCTGTTTAGAAAAATGAAATTAGTACTCAACGATTAGATACAGCCAATAAAGAACATAAAGAGAAGTATACAAATAAAATATTAGCACATTCCTTTTCCCAAAAATTTGCAAGCAAAATTACAGAGTTGGGCATTATAATCCTTACGTGTCGATATCACAAACCATTAGCGAGAAACTTCAAACAAAAGAATTTCATAACCGTATACCCAAAGAATGAGCTTGAGGAAATGGCTAAAGAATAGTTCTGTTAAGGTGAATAAAGCTGAGAGGCTGCAGATATATAGGCAAGTTGTTCAAACTGTCAATATGGCACACTCTCAAGGAAATGCCTTGCAAGGTTTATGGCTTTCAAGTTCTGTTTTGTTGCCATCAAATGAGATCATTTACTTTGATTCTTCAACCGAACACGATGTAATAACTATTACAGACCAAATAATTGGTACATTTCTCTAGAAAAGCTCTACGGGAGGGATCTATTATCGGCAAATATCTATAGCCTTGGCATTCTCTTGTTTGAGGTGAGTTTTAGCAAGGAAGTAATTTAAGCCAAAGTAATGAATGTCAGATCAATGTAGTTCCAAGATCACAAAACCTCCGTTATTCTTAGAACTTCATAAATGGAATCCATTATTTTGGATAAAAAAAACCCATCACACCAATCATAAGTTTCTGTTATCTAGGAAAAGAAATCGAAGACACAGATGTTTTTAGTAAAGACAGAATGGTGAATAATGCGAGATTGTGAAAACCCCATCCAGGTGCGGTGAGGTGAGGTGAGGTCGAGTGGGGTCAGATGGACACCTTATTTACAGATGAACGAAACCCAAACCAAACAAACCCAAATAAACAAACCCAAATGAGCAAAACCCTAAACCCTAAAATAAACAAACCCAAAACAGCAAATAAATGAAAGCGATGATGGAGAGCGATGTTACCTGAAATGCTTTCAAGTTGAACGATGCGGTGATGGAGAGCGAGGGTAAAACAGAGAGATGGATGACTGAATGATGGAAAGCGATGGAAATAACAGTGCAAACAATCCTAAAATAAACAAACCCAAATCAAGCAAACCCAAATGAACAAACCCAAATCAGCAAAACCCTAAACCCTAAAATAAACAAACCCAAAACAACAAATAAATGAAAGTGATGATGGAGAGCGATGTTACCTGAAATGCTTTCAAGTTACCTGAACGATGGAGGACTGAACGATGGAGAATAAAACAAAGCGAGGGTGATGGAAGCGGTGAACGATGGAAACTTGTAGAAACTCCTTTTTAAAGGAATCGTCATCTCGGGAAAGGTTGTATAGATGAATCGTCGTCTTGGGAGGGACATTTTCTGAGCGACGGTTTGGGGATTGGGGAGGGGAGCCGGTTGGTTTGGTGTTTGAAAAGTAAAGGTAAAGCAAAGCAAAGCAAAGCTAAAGGGTATTTTAGGTATTTATAAATTTAAGACTTTAAGACTTTGAATGAATCTGCTTAATAAGATAGTGTGTATATATATATATATATATATATATTAGTAGTATTATATCAAATCTAATGTGTAATTCTCTGTTTATGTAGATTTTTGGGCCAAGTCCTGCAATAGTCCTGTATGAGCATGTTGGCAGAATCCTATAGC